TAGCCATGAACAAAGACAGGACCCTCAGATTGATCGCCACCGTGAGAATCACTCGTCGCCACTGAAGGTTATCCCAGTCCGCACTCAATGCCGGTCCGCAATAACTCAAGGCCCGCCCTCACTCCCGTCGTTCACTCCCGTCGTTCTCTCTCTCCCGTCAAACTCTTTCTCCCATCGCGCTCTCACTCCCATCGCTCTCTCACTCCCGCAACGCTCTCACTCCCGTCGCTCTCTCACTCCCGTCGCTCTCTCACTCCCGTCGCTCTCTCACTCCCGCAACGCTCTCACTCCCGTCGCTCTCTCACTCCCGTCACGCTCTCACTCCGTCTCTCTCACTTCCGTCACGCTTTTACTACCGTCGCTCTCTCACTCCCGTCGCTCTCTCGCTTCCGTCGCGCTCTCACTACCATCGATCTCTCACGCCCGCAACGCTCTCACTCCGTCGCTCTCTCACTCCCGTCGCTCTCTCATTCCCGTCGCTCTCTCACTCCCGTCGCTCTCTTACTCCCGTCGCTCTCTCACTCCCGTCGCTCTCTCACTTCCGTCGCACTCTCACTCCCGTCGCTCTCTCACTTCCGTCCCGCTCTCACTCCCGTCACCCACGCACGTCGCTCGCACATGTCGCTCATATCTGCTCCTTCCCCCCTCTTCCCCCTTGCGCCCTTCCCCGTTCCTCCTCTTCCCATCTTCCTTTGTCACTCACACACGTCACACACGACATGCTCACACATGTTCCCATCTCCCCTCTCCTCCCTTCCCTCTCCGCTGCTCTCCTCCTTTCCCTCTCTGTCCCCCTCCTTCCCTTCTCTGTCTTCGCCTCGCCGCCCTCCCACTCATCCCCTCTCCTTCCTTTCCCTCTCAGCCCCTCTCCTCCTTTCCCTCTCAGCCCCTCTCCTCTTTTCCCTCTCAGTCCCTCTCTTCCTTTACCTCTCTCCCGTTTTCTCCCTTTATCTCTCCTCTGCCCGCTCTGCCCTTTCCTCTACCTTCCCTATCCTTATGTCCACCAACATGCCCTTTGATGAGCTCGCCACGTTTCTCCCTCCCTGTTTCTTGTTCTTCACTCCGTTTCCCCCATTGTCCTTCCCTATCTTTCCCCCCGGTCATTCCCTCCATCTCACTTATTGTCACTGCCTCCCTTTCCCATTGTCCTCTCCTCCGTTTCGCCCCTTTTTCCTTCCAACCTTTCCCCCATGTCCTTCCTTCCGTATTCCCCCTTATTTCTTCCTCCCTGTCCCACTTTCCCTCCTTCTCAAGACCCTTGTCCGTCCCTCGGGCTCCCCGCTTCAGCTCTCCCTCCCTTTCCCCCCTGTTCTGCCCTCCCAGTTGCTGGTGTCTCCCTCCCTTTCGCCCAAGTCCTTCCCTCCGTTTCCCCCCTTGTTCGTTGCTCCGTATCCCCGTGTGCTGGATCCGTTTCTCCTCTTGTCTCCATCTTTTTCCCTTTCCGCAGCTCCCGCCCCTCCGATTTCCCCCCTGGTTTGCCCCTCCGTTGCCTTTCTCCCCTTCATCCCTCTTGCCCTTTTCCGATCATCTGTTGCCCCATGCCCCACGCCCCATGCCCCATGCCCCATGCCTCACACCTCATATCTCAACACCCTGCCACTGTGCCCTTCATGGTCAGATAGGGTTCCTGCCGGCGGCAGCAGCAGCCAACCTCACAGAGGAAGTGGTGGTTCGCTTTGACTGCCTTTCCAACGCTCGAGAGCTCTCACGCCCACGACCACAGGCACACCACACACCCCTGACACTGAGGTAGTGGCCTCCAACAGGGGGTAGTTGGGAGGTCAATCAAATAGTCTCTTTCGTTTGCCTTCTCTGCATTGGTATCACGTCACACTCTTCTACCATCTTTCCACCACCCATTCCACCATACCCACCCTGACACTCATCCCTCACCCTTCCACTCTGTGCCTTACTCACTCCTTCGCTGTTTCTGTCCTTCTCTCACTTTCCCTTTGCTCTCTGTCATCTTGCTCACCCTGTTCCTTGCTCACTCATACATTTGTTGTTTCTGTCCTTTGCTCGCTGTCCCCTGCTCACCCTTCAATCTTTGCCCCTGCCTCGCTGTTGCATTCCTTGTCATTCCCCTCCCATTCCTTCCTCTGCACGCGATCCGTGCTGCCCTTCACCGTATGCTTCCCTGCTGCTCAGCCATCTCACATCTAATTTCCTGATTTGTGTTTGTACAGGTCCGCTATGCATCAGTGCTGGTGCTGTGGTGATGTGTTGGTTGGCAGTTTGATAGTACTATAATGACTTGCCATGCATTGTTTGGATCTTGGATGCTTTGTTATACCGGTATTACAAACTTTGAGCTGAGAGCAGCCGTGCACATGACCACTACAAAAAAGTGCAACCAAATTCGCACTTGATTATCGACGCGAAGAAGACAGCTAGGAAATGTATTTTTTTTTCCCCCGTTCTTGTTTGCTACACTGCATGCAACCTTGGCCTGTGGTGTTGGGGGCCTGGGACCTGTACACTGCGTGGTTGGAGATGGGTATGAGTGAAAGGGGGAACAGATTGAGCAGCGGAAGAGAGAGTGAACAGGAAGAAACATAGCGAACAGGGGGAAAGAGAGTGAGCAGAGAGGAACAGAGCGAGTAGTTGGGGAGAGTATGGGCAGGAGAAACACAGTGAGCGGGAGAGAATGAGCAGGGGAAACAGATTGACCCAGGAAAATAAGGACGGAAAGATGAGCAGAATGAATGGGAGGGGGATGGGAGAGCGATGGGAGGGGGATGGGAGGGGGATGGGAGGGCGATGGGAGGGAGATGGAAGGGGGATGGGAGGGGGATGGGAGGGGGGATGGGATGGGGATGAGAGGGGGGTGGGAGGGGGATGAGAGGGGGGTGGGAGGGGGATGGGAGGGGGGCGGGAGGGGGATGGGAGGGGGATGGGAGGGGGATGGGAGGGAGATGGGAGGGGGGATGGGAGGGGGATGGGAGGGGGATGGGAGGGGGATGGGAGGAGGATGGACGGGGGGTGGGAGGGGGATGGGAGGGGGATGGGAGGGGGATGGGAGGGGGATGGGAGGGGGATGGGAGGGGGATGGGAGGGGGATGGGAGGGGGATGGGAGGGGGATGGGAGGGGGATGGGATGGGGATGGGAGGGGGATGGGAGGGGGATGGGAGGGGGATGAGAGGGGGGTGGGAGGGGGTTGGGAGGGGGATGGGAGGGGGATGGGAGGGCGGCGGGAGGGGGATGGGAGGGCGATGGGAGGGGGATGGAAGGGGGATGGGAGGAGGATGGGAGGGGGATGGGAGGAGGATGGGAGGGGGATGGGAGGGGGATGGGAGGGGGATGGGAGGGGGATGGGAGGGGGATGGGAGGGGGATGGGAGGGGGATGGGAGGGGGATGAGAGGGGGGTGGGAGGGGGTTGGGAGGGGGAGGGGAGGGGGATGGGAGGGCGGCGGGAGGGGGATGGGAGGGCGATGGGAGGGGGATGGGAGGGGGATGGGAGGGGGATGGGAGGCGGATGGGAGGGGGATGGGAGGAGGATGAGAGGGGGATGAGAGGGGGATGGGAGGGGGATGGGAGGGGGATGGGAGGGGGATGGGAGGGGGATGGGAGGGCGACGGGAGGGCGATGGGAGGGGGACGGGAGGGCGATTGGCGGGGGACGGGAGGGGGACGGGAGGGGGACGGGAGGGGGATGGGAGGTCGACGGGAGGGGGAAGCGAGGGCGACGGGAGGGGGAAGCGAGGGCGACGGGAGGGGAAGCGAGGGCGACGGGAGGGGAAAGCGAGGGCGACGGGAGGGGAAAGCGAGGGCGATGGGCGGGGGAAGCGAGGGCGATGGGCGGGGGAAGCTGGTGCGACGGATGGGGGAAGCTGTGGCGACGGACGGTGGATGCGAGATATGGACGGACGGGGGAAGCGGAGTCGACAACGCTCTAATTTCTCATCTTGCACAATATCTCCTTGCTTCACACTCGCATTCGAGCCACATTCCCTACCTCGGTCCTCGGATTCCTCTCGATTCCGGCATAAAAGCATATGTTCTCACATGTCATACCCAGCTATTTTACTCTGGATACTTCATATTTTCCTAATACTGATGCTCTATCTGGTCTTACGCATGTTTTTCTCAGGCTGCTCAAAGAGAGTGCTTGTGGACATGGCGGAAATCCGGGTTGTGAGCTTCATGAGAGTGGTTGGGTTTGGTTTTGTCGAAGCTGTTTGTTCAAGTTTCGGGAAGTTGAAGTTGCGATACACTTTCGGGCATTCTGCCTTCGCCAACTTCCTCAGGCGAATTTTTCTCTCGTCAACCTTCGCGCAACCCTTTTCAAGTTCAGTATTTATGAACCCTTGCCATTCTAGGCGCGGGCTTTAAGTCAACAACTCTGTCAAGAGTACTAGCAAGCAGAATTCTACCCACGCAGCCCTTAGCCTGCCTACGTTCCCCATAGTCTAGAATTCTCCGCAACAACTTCGTGTCTATCTGTCCAACAAACGCCTCCCGACGGAAGGCGACTCTCGTCTTCGCCTTCACAACTTCCTCCACTCACGGCGCGGCTCGTCGTCATTTGAGACGCCGTCTCAAACGTCGTCGTCATGGCGTCCCAGATTCGTCTCCGTCTCACGCTGTTGCTCCTCCTCGTTCTGGGCTTGGACCATCACTGCGGCGTCTTCTACCCGCAGCCCGCCGATGCGCATCCTAACGGCGCGGGTCCGCTTGTCGGGTGTCTGTGCCCCGAAGAGATGCACTCCTTGGCGCCGTATTCGTGCCTGTGCAACACGACTGCCTACAAGAAGTCCCAAGGTGCGGCCGGTACCCCCCAATGTGCGTGCGGTACTACCTCCCAAGGTGTGGTACCCTTAGTCCTTGCAGCTCAGGCTGAGTCGCCCACGACAGCTTGTTCCAGCTGCTTTTTCTGGGGCTAACCCTTTCCTTCTCTCTCTCTTGAGACACCTCAAATGTGGCTCACGACAGCTTGTTCCAGCAACTTTCTCTGGGGCTAACCCTCCCCTTGTCACTCTTCCTGTGGGTGCCTGCGCAGCCAATGTGCTCCAAGAATTTCGAGAGAATTGCGGCCTGGCAGACTCCTTCAACCCGTCCTACTGCTCCGTGAAAGGCGTTCTCTGCAACGACCGCGGCATGGTCAACTCGCTGTGGGTGACATGGGTTTCTCATCTCATCGCATAATGGCAACATCCATGCTCATTGCATCACTCATGGGATGGGATTCCATTCCTTCATGGCAACATGTATTTACTATATACTAGCTGTTGTGCGGCAACGTCTCGCAATCTGTGAATCCCATCACATCTGCGCTCTATGCCACATGCCCTTCGTTTCTGATGTTACTTACACCTTTTACATGATAATCCCAAAAGTCACCCACCCACCTCACTGCGCCTGCTGCCCTTCCATGGATCTGAATGGCTTGGCATGGCATGACTGGATGACATGGCATCGGCGCTTGCTTGGCGCTTGCCATCGTGCGAATCCCTTTTTCCTCAGGAACTTGGAAGGTCGCTCGCTGCAGTGCAGCATCCCCTACAACATCAGCAAGCTCGCTACGCTCACCGGACTGTACGTCCCGTCTCGTCCCCTCTCGTCCCGCCTCGTCCCCTCTCGTCCCGTCTCGTCCCCTCTCGTCCCGTCTCGTCCCCTCTCGTCCCGTCTCGTCCCCTCTCGTCCCGTCTCGTCCCCTCTCGTCCCGTCTCGTCCCCTCTCGTCCCGTCTCGTCCCCTCTCGTCCCCTCTCGTCCCGTCTCGTCCCCTCTCGTCCCGTCTCGTCCCCTCTCGTCCCCTCTCGTCCCGTCTCGTCCCCTCTCGTCCCGTCTCGTCCCCTCTCGTCCCGTCTCGTCCCCTCTCGTCCCGTCTCGTCCCCTCTCGTCCCCTCTCGTCCCGTCTCGTCCCCTCTCGTCCCCTCTCGTCCCCTCTCGTCCCGTCTCGTCCCCTCTCGTCCCGTCTCGTCCCCTCTCGTCCCGTCTCGTCCCCTCTCGTCCCGTCTCGTCCCCTCTCGTCCCGTCTCGTCCCCTCTCGTCCCTCTCGTCCCGTCTCGTCCCCTCTCGTCCCGTCTCGTCCCCTCTCGTCCCGTCTCGTCCCCTCTCGTCCCGTCTCGTCCCCTCTCGTCCCGTCTCGTCCCCTCTCGTCCCGTCTCGTCCCCTCTCGTCCCGTCTCGTCCCCTCTCGTCCCGTCTCGTCCCCTCTCGTCCCGTCTCGTCCCCTCTCGTCCCCCTCGTCCCGTCTCGTCCCCGTCTCGTCCCCTCTCGTCCCCTCTCGTCCCGTCTCGTCCCCTCTCGTCCCGTCTCGTCCCCTCTCGTCCCGTCTCGTCCCCTCTCGTCCCGTCTCGTCCCCTCTCGTCCCGTCTCGTCCCCTCTCGTCCCGTCTCGTCCCCTCTCGTCCCGTCTCGTCCCCTCTCGTCCCGTCTCGTCCCCTCTCGTCCCGTCTCGTCCCCTCTCGTCCCGTCTCGTCCCCGTCTCGTCCCCTCTCGTCCCGTCTCGTCCCCTCTCGTCCCGTCTCGTCCCCTCTCGTCCCGTCTCGTCCCGTCTCGTCCCCGTCTCGTCCCCTCTCGTCCCGTCTCGTCCCCTCTCGTCCCGTCTCGTCCCCTCTCGTCCCGTCTCGTCCCCTCTCGTCCCGTCTCGTCCCCTCTCGTCCCGTCTCGTCCCCTCTCGTCCCGTCTCGTCCCCTCTCGTCCCGTCTCGTCCCCTCTCGTCCCGTCTCGTCCCCTCTCGTCCCGTCTCGTCCCCTCTCGTCCCGTCTCGTCCCCTCTCGTCCCGTCTCGTCCCCTCTCGTCCCGTCTCGTCCCCTCTCGTCCCGTCACATCCCGCCTCGTCGGCCCACCACCGCCTCGTCTCACAGTGTGTGCCGCCGACTGTTCCTGTGCCTTGGCGCGTTGCTTCCATTCAACTCCTGGTTTGCGTTGTGCGTCTGTGTGGAAGCACTGTACGATGAGCAATGCAATGCAATGCAATGCCCGGCGCTGTGTGCCATTGCTTGCAGGTACCTAACCAACAACAAGTTTACAGGATCCATACCAGACAGTATTGCCAACATGACCTCCTTATGGGATCTGTAAGTCAAGTCGGCTCGTCTTCTCTTGACTTGCCTCATGGGTCATTCAAGTCACTTCGTTTTCTTCCCACTTTAGCGCTCCTCCCTCTCTTTGACTTATTTTTTTTCTCCCCAATATCCTGCGTGTAGTGATCTATCGGGAAATCAGCTCACTGGCAGCATTCCTTCGTGGATTTCGCAACTTGTAAACCTCACTCACCTGTAAGCATGCACTAAGAAACATATAAGGCAAAAAAATGGGATGAAGCACAAGCACCTTCATATATTTGCCTCTCATCCCCTACACAAGCTCTCTCCACTTGATTAGGCTAGAGGCTAACGCTTTTTTCGTTCTATGGTAGTGGAAGGTGGTGAAAGGCCACCAGATGCAGACTAGTCAGTATGAGTGAAGATTAGAAAGTAGCAAAAGATGGCCAGGAATAAAATAAGCTAAGGCCCGCATCTGCCCGCTCTTGTTTCATGTATGCACATGTATATCTCATGATGCAGGGTCCTCTCGAATAATCAGCTCACTGGCAGCATTCCTTCGGGCAACACCCTTCTCTACTACGGCGTTTCTGAAGTGTAAGTTTGTCTGGGAATGCTCCAGAGGCAGAGAAAAGAGAAGAGAAGAGCCACACATTTGACTGGCTGCTCCTTCTGACGCAGTCTCTCCAGGTAAACTATTTATGAGGCGCCTTGAGAATGCGGTATCGTGCGCAGATAATATGAGGAGATGTTGCCTTTAAAACCCGAAACTCTTGGGAACAATCGTCGCAATCTTCAAAGGTTCAAAACCGCCGTATGGCAAAATATCCAGCCGACAATAAGGCTCCATGCAAGAACACTGCATAGCTTTATGTTAAATATGCTCCATTCTTCTCTTTTCCTTCAATTTTAGGCTAGCCAGTAATGTTGATAGATGACAAACTTTGCCACTCGGTCCATTCTTCTCGTCTAGAGTGGTCAAACTGCTGCTTCCTTCCATCCAATCCTTGCCATATGGAGTATTGGATTCGTGCAGACATGCTGCCAGTCAACCATCCTTTCAAGTTCATTCACCTTGAAAGCGTCCAACTATCTCCCCCGGATTTTCCATGCCCCATGCCCCTCCTCTCCCACCCTTCATTCTCTCCCAGCGAACTCCAAGGCAACCAGCTTTCCGGCCCCCTTCCTGCCTCTTTTGGGAGAATATTGACCCTGTAAGAGCTGCATTGAAACGCGCAAAGAGGGGGCAGGAAACAGCGGCAGAGGGGGAACGGAGAGGGGAGAGATGGAAGGGGAGGGAGAGAGGGAGTGTGGAACAAGAGTGATGGCATGGGGAAGAACATCGTTATGACTTAGTCGTGCCGTATGGAGTGCCCTGTTGGGCATGGCTCAATCGTAGTGGTCTACAATGCTTTGGCAGCAGCCTTGAGACCATCTTACCAAGGCTACTGTCTCTCAATGGCTCTGCCCTCCCTCCCTCGCTCGCTCCCTCGCTCCCTCCCTCCCTCACTCCCTCCCTCCCTCCCTCTCCCCCTCATGGCACTTGCACCCCTCCTCCATCCCCTAATAGGAAAATCGATTGGGATAAATTCACATGTCCTGTCAACGGGGGAGATTGCGTGGTAAAACAAAATAATGATTCTCCATTCTGTGGCCCGTGCAAGGACTTCTGTGATTCTTGCGACCCTTTCAAAAGTACGTTAACGTGCCTCATACTGCTGCTGCTGCTGCTGCTCTCATTCAAGGCACCTCGAAAGGCGCCTGAGCACGCTGCTGCTTTTCCATGTATCCAGACATTGTGGAAAAAATATCATGCCTCACCAATGCATCCTCGCTTGACTGCTTTCTCGTTTGTGCACGCCGGATTCTCAGATACGCTCGTTCATTCCCCATGCATATCACCTCGCTCACCACCCACATCCTAGTTGTCCGTGGTTGCACCTCCGTTGCCTCTCTGGTTTTCTATTTCCAGTGTCAAGCAGGTCTGGATACATGGGCAAGCTAAGCCGCGCAGGCATCACAGGGATTATGGTTGCCTCTGTGGTCTTCGTTCCTCTGCTGCTGGTGATTGCGTAGCCTCGCTCAAATCCACGTGAAGGAGCAGAGGGAGGAGAGGTGGGAGTAGGTGAGCAAGGAGGGGGAGAGCCGGAGAGGATGGAAGGCGGAGGCAGTGAGGGGGAGAGGGAGGAGTAGGAGAGATAGCAGCAGGGGAATCTGCACTAGCACCATAGGCAGACAGCCCAGCAGTGTCTTTATGTTTGCTAAATAAGATACGGTAGATTGGACTCATTTTGTAGGCGACACTTGCCATGAAATACGTTTGCAAAACACAATCCCCTTTCGCAACCCCCGAAATTTCTACCTTACAACCAAGGTTGAACAACCTGATTCAAAGGGCTTAAAAATTTTATATGGCAGTTGTTTCATAAACCACTAATAAAACGTTCATGAATGTTTTTGTGATGTGTATTTTCTTTAGAACTGTGGGATGCCTTTCCACCACGTCTTTTCTGTTAGTATAAAAGAGACGGAGAAGGCCTTGACTTTATTTAATAGAACTGTATCGACTGCGTCTATATCGCTTCGGTTGGAGGGGACTTCCCGCTGGTTCGTTGAGGTCGGTCGGAGTCCCCAGGTGGAAATCCAGCTGGGCATGTTCTGTTCCCAAGGTCCTTACGAGTCAACTGTCTAATTCTGGTCAACAACACCACTCCGAATCGACGACTGTGCCACGTCACGTATCTCGCATTCGCAATGGCACCAGAACCTTCTCATACTTGGCGCATTACCAGTGTGGACCAGCAGAGCACGGCGGAACAGTGGGAACCGTACGATTGGAAACCAGATTTCGAGATGTGCTCCTGTCAATCAGTTCCTCCGCCTCCCTCATAGCTCGCTTTCCCAATCCATTCTCTGTCCACTTCAGTAACCCTCGAGCATTTCTTGTGGCATTTCAAGAACCTCGCAAGCGCACATGCATTTTCAGAAACCTGTTGCACTGCTCTCCTCCTCCACACCAGCTACCATTTTACCACCTTCAAATCCACCGTTCCGACTGCATTTCCGTCTCCACAGCAACTCATAACATCTTCCTTTTGTATAAGGACACTACTTTGTAGTCGTACGCCCGGCGACGCCTCAAAAGTACCCCGTGCGTGAGTGACGCCGCGATGGCGCGTGGCACGCAACTGTTTTTCGCGTCGCTTCTCCTCGCCCTCTTGGCCATGAGCGGCGTTCCACGACGTGTCCACGCGCAGTCTTCCTCCGAAGGTTCGCGCTAGAATGCTTTCAGAGAAACACGTGTTTTTTCTTTTTTCCCCTGTTTGTTCTTTGCATAGCCGACAGGTTTGGACACACTCGCTATTTCATGATCGTTCGGTATTTCAAACACGTTCCACGTTTTGAATGGTGACGCAATGGGTGTTTCATCATCATATCATGATCACAATCCATGCACCCATTCACCTCTCTCGCTGCCTCTCGCCGCAGAGGAAGCACTAATCGACCTCAACAACGCTTGTGGCACGAGCATCAGCATCTCGAACCCCTGCTACTCTCAGGGTGTCAAATGCGGAACTACCACGCCCCCATACAGCGTATCATCTTACGGCATCGTCTCGTTGTAAGTCAGTCCATGCCGCTCTCACCGCCACCAAGGCTGCAACGGGTATCATAGTACGGTATCGTCAGAGCCTGTCTGAACGCCACATGAAGACCTTTTTGGAGTCATATCACGGACTGGGCGCGCCCCGTGCATACACGCGTGCGTGCCAGCTTGCGCCAGTGTTCCCACCAGGGTGGTTTGGCTTGATGGTGCCTTTTCTGCGCGTTATTTGTCTGCGCCCTCGCTTGGTTCCCATTTTTATTCCTGGATTAACCCTTGCCTCCTATGTATCCCTTCTGATGATTACACGTGAGATGGGTCGTTGCTTGTGATATGTCCAGCAATCCTGTGTTTCGTCTGTACCTCCCCGGGGGGCCCCCGCATGTTGCGATGGGCCGTTGCCCTGATGTTTCCGGGATGCTGCAAACAACAACATGGCATGATGGCGTGTGTCGGTATGGCACAAATTCATATGCGCGGCGTCTGGTTTTGTGAATTCGCTGATTCACATGCATTTTGTCATGCTGTCATGGTGTGCCATGCAATGCAATAAAAATTACGCTGGCATGTGCGATGGCTACTATATGACGTGGCAATCATGATGATGCAATGGAATGGAAACAAACAGGAACTTCAGATGGCAATCTCTCGACTGCTCCATTCCCTCCACAATCGGCCAACTCAATCTGCTCTCCAAACTGTACGTCCCCTCGCATATTCCTTAACTGCGAGATTCTTCATAACTCCTCTAAAACATCGCAAATTGCAAATTGGTATCAGCCTGAACGTCCCATCGCATAACCTGCTTCCTCAAGCCGTATCAGGCAGCGTTGCACACCCACCAACTCACCAACCCACCAACCTGTGTACGGCTCGTGGGTGGGGTTGCATGCTTGGCAGGGACCTCTCCTCCACAGGCATTCACGGCAGCCTTCCAACCACCTTCGGCAACCTCCGCAACCTCAACATCCTGTAAGCCAGGACTGGCGGTTTTATCCCTCAGCTCTCTCACATACTCACATGCCCAAATGCAAGAAGATGATTTTTGAGACGTCCCAAAAAATCTCTCAGCACATGAACGCAGGCCCGAATGCCTGTGCCTGTGTGGAATGCCTCTCCTTTCCTGGCGCCTATGCGTCCCTCTCTTTGACAGACAAACACACACACACACACACACACACACACGCGCGCGCGGGCGCACACACACACACACACACACGCACACACACTACTACGCGCACACACACACACACACACACACACACACACACACACACACACACACACAAGCAAACAGCAGAGACACACGGACCCATGCACTCCACCCTCACCCGTCTCTCCCTACCACCCCCACCTTCCACACTCACACTAGCTATACGCTACTGTACTTCCGCAACCCACTACTAGCGATATTGTTTTCTCGCTCCCAACCCCTCAACTTTCAACCCTCCGTGCCCACCCCCTCCAGAAATCTCAAGAACAACAATCTCGTCGGCACTCTGCCAGCAGAAATGGGGTCGCTCAAGACACTCACCACGTGGTATGCATTGCACGCACATGGGCTGAAAGGTGTGAAGGGGGGGAGGGAGGGAGGGAGGGAGGGAGGGAGGGAGGGAGGGAGGGAGGGAGGGAGGGAGGGAGGGAGGGAGGGAGGGAGCGAGGGAGGGAGGGTCGGGCGGATGGACGGACGGAGGGAGGAGTGGGTGGTTGCGAGGTTGGGAGTGTACAGACGGCGGCAGGTCAGTCGAGTCGAGCAGACTGATGCAATAAAATGTAGCTTTGATGGACAAGAGTGGAGAGGTGGGTTTCAGAGAGGAAATGGCTGTAGAGGCACGTCCGTGACCTGGCTTGTTGCATAAGTGCATGGACTATCTTGTGACAGTGCGGGATGCAAAGGGTGGGAAAAGAGGACGTCGAGACAATGATATGGAGAGGAGGAGTTGTCAAAGATGATTGATGTTTGTGGGATGACGGGTCACCATGGGTAGTGGGAGTGAGCAGCTGTGTTTTTGTGTGAGCAGCTGCTGTGTGCATCCTTGCTGCGTGCTCTGCGTAGTGATGGCCAATTTGCCGTCTCTGTACCGTTCACTCTCTACTCTGTACCCCCCCCCCCGTACCTGCCAACCATTACCTGCACGCCCGCTGCCCTCTACCCAGACACCATACACCTTGTCATGCGTGTGCTAGTACTCTTCGTGCCCTCGCCATGCGCTTCCCTTCCCGCAGGGACTTGGCGAACAGCGGAGTGAACTGTGCGGTGACTGGCAACTGCACTGTATACCAGAACCACTCCTCCGGCTTCTGTCAGATGTGCCCCAGCTTCTGCGCCAATTGCTCTCCCTCCTACAGTGAGCCTCCTCTCCCTACGTACACCAGAGTCAGGAGTTCCCATTCTCATCCTTAAGCTCTCTCTTGCCTCCTTCCTAGATATCTTTCCATGGCCAGGGGTCCTGAAACCATTCCCAGTAACCTGAAACCCGTCAACTCCTTCTAGTCACTCTGTTTCCTTTCCTTGTGGTTGCTCACTTCAGCTAGCAGTCTGATGGTCACACCGTTTCCTTTAATTTCCGGTTCCCGTTCTGAATATAATCCACGCGCCCTTGTTTGCAGGGACCACGTTAATTTAGACAGTGAATGGGTGCTGTCCTTGGTAAAAGGACACTAGATAGTGAGTTTGAGACGTCCCAAAAGTAGATTCCGACCAAAGCCTCTCTTGGATATGGCAAATCCACCTGCAATTCGCCCGTCCCCCTTCTCATGCCATCGATTGCAGTGTCAAGCAGGAAACCTCCCATCCACATCAGCAGCAGCGACGATAGTAGCAACATCACCGCCAACAACAGCACCAGCAGCGGCAGCTCTCCATCTTCAGGCGCCATTATCGGCATCGTCGTGGGTGGCGTGTGCATACTCATTGTCCTCCTCCTTCTGCTGGCGGTCTGGGTCTATTACACCAGAAAGACAAAGGAAGAGAAGAGACAGCATGCGGGGAAGGACGATCAAGATGTGGAAGCAGGAAAAGCAAGAGGAGAAACTGGTGATTTGGACACAGAGCCAGGGGGGGCTGGGACAGCTGAAGAAGTGGCGGCTGCTGCAGTGGCAGCAGCAGCGGTGAGGCAAGAAGAAGCACCAGCCACAGTGGGGGAGGCGCGGCCGTTGGTGTGCCGGCAGTATTCGCTGGCGGAGGTGGCGGCAGCGACGGGCGAGTGGGCGGAGGCGAACCGCATTGGCAGCGGCAGCTTCGGGGATGTGTACAAGGGCGCTAACCCCACCGCTCCCCATGAGATCTGGGCCGTCAAACGCGCCAAGATACTTACGAATGACTTCAAGCGAGAGGTAAGAAAGCAATGTAGCACTCGGCGGTTATAATGGAGATGGAGAGTAGGAAACGTTTCATTACTTTGATTTATTTCATGCGAGTTATGCCTCACACGCACGCATACATCTTGACTTCGAGCTTCCGTGATTGGAGCTCGGACATGATACACGGCAAAAGAGAAAGTGTTGCTCCTATGTTCTGTGTGTTTGAGTGCATGGCAGGTGAATGAGATGGCGACAAAGAATCACCCGAACCTGGTGCGACTGCTGGGGTACTGCTTCGACATGAACCACACCACGGAGCGCATCGAGCAGATTGTCATCTACGAATTCATGGCCAATGGCGACCTCGAGCGGTGGATTGGACCCCGTGAGATATCTCATTTGCTCTTCTCTACTCTACTCGTCTTTGCCTTGTTTCTCTTGACCCAACCCTTTCTCATGCACACTTGACCCACTGTGCTTCCGTTTCCAGTCTCAACAACTGAAGGTTTCCACTTGACGTTTTCCCCTTGACGTCATGCCTCAGACGCCCCCGAGCAGCTGACGATCAGGCAGCGCCTGGATGTGATGATCGGCATGGCGCAGGGGTTGCAGTACCTGCATGGCTTTGGCATCGTGCATCGCGACATCAAGCCCGCCAATGTGCTTCTTGACAACAAGATGCAGGTGCGTGAGGAGTGTTGTATCGGCCTCTTTTTTATTTTCAAACAACAATCTGAGCCTGCATCATGCAGTGTCTTGCTGATGGAGATCTGATGCTATTGCCAAGTATGTGTTGCTATTGTGCGTAATAAATGTACAGGGCAGGATTGCAGACTTTGGGCTTGTCAGAATGGGCGAGGGCACGTCGGTGATTGCGACGCGCGTGATGGGCACACCGGGCTATGTGGACCCGGCTTACTACAAGTCACAGAAGGCCACCCCCATGGCTGATGTGCACAGGTATGGGTGATGTGCACAGGTATGGGTGATGTGCACAGGTATGGGTGATGTGCACAGGTATGGGTGATGTGCACGGGTATGGGTGATGTGTCCATTTATAAGCGATGTGCCCATTTATGGGTGATGTGCACAGATGGTTGATGTGCCCATTTATGGGTGATTTGCACAGGTATTGCCGATGTCCAGTGGTATGTGAGATGTGCGCAGTGATTTGTGAAGTGTGCATGGGGGGTGGCCATGAGTGAATTTATCCTGTAGGTTCTTCTTTGTTTGCGGTCGGCTCTGCGTCTTTCTTTAGGATGGACGAATTACAGCGACATGCGCAGAGGCCGACTACAAGATGTCATGTAACAATACAGTTGTGCCCTTTTATGTCTCTCTCTCCACTCATTTCCATATGCTTGTAGATCATTTACACCTTTGTGCATCCATTGCATCCTCTTCCACATTATGTTTGGCTCTGCACGTCCTTGTGTATGCCATTCGTGAACCTCGCAGTTTTGGAGTCGTGATGCTGACGGTCATTACTGCACGCAAAGCCATCTACATGGTGGACTCAGACCAGCACAACCTTAAAACCTGGGTGAGCCCTTCGTCTTCGTATAGCTGTGGTATAACTAACAAGATTAACCTTACTTTATGATTTGATGCTTCGCAGAGAACATCATAAGGTTCAATGATGAAACCCACTCATAGAGTAGACAGGCTGCTTATCACCTTAAACAGAACCATCAACATATATTCCTTGCCCCTACTTCACAGTTCCCCTGCCCAGCCAAACCTTTTCAGAGCTTCTTTTCTGAAATCCGTGGAGGAATGAAAACATGGATTTATTTGGCTTCCTTCATGGCATTTGAAGTATCATTCTTTTCCTCCTGACACCAGGTTGCTCCTCTAATCGCGGCTGGTGACGTGTCAGCATTCAAGGACCCTCACCTGCAGGCACCAGATGATCTGGTGCTGCGCATGGCCAAGCTTGCCATCAGCTGCACTCTCATGCCCACTGCTTCACGCCCATCTATGAACCGGATATTGACAGAGTTGGTGGAGATGAAGGACGAGTTCCTGGGGGTTGAGTCCAACCGGATGGCCGAAAAAATAGATCGTGAGCTTGAGTCTACTTCTGAAATTGATTTCATTAAAGAGCTTGCCCGAGCCCAAGGGATGGGATCTAGCAATGGGTTGTCAAGTGGAAAATAGTTCGCTCAGGGAGAGGGTTAAATAGAGCTTGTATTGGAAATGTATTTTCGCGATGTTTATTTTGTGGTGTGAGATCATACAACTGCATAGTAATCAGCTCCAGGATTTGGATCCAGGTGGAGGGTGTGATGCTCACGTTATGTAGCGTGTTGTACGAGTCATGTTAGCTAGGCTCTTTTGTGCTTGTGATTTCTTATTGAAGTGTAAGCTCATGCTGGAAACAACTGAGGTATGTATGGTCTAATATCGGATTGTGGCCCTCACGTCAGTCGTTTGTAGGGAAAGAGATTTGTTCCAAGCCATGAGGTGATTCACGTCATGTCTTTTTGTGACCCACATCTCACTCTTTTAGCTTCACCGAAACTGGGGCAGGAAAAATGCGTTCCAACCAAAATGCAATCTGGGAGCTGTTTCGGTCTCGGTTCAGTTTCAACGGCTCTGGTTCTAACCAGTAACTTATGGATGCTATTTTGTTGATATTATTTGTTTGTTTGTTATTTTTTCTGCCGTCCCCTCTGTCATGCCACTGCCAATCCCTGCCATCACCTATTGGATAATCTCTCTGATACCTCACCAGAGCCAACCGTCATCCCAAAGTGTCTGTCCTCGAATCTTACGGTCGACTCGGGCGGTGCAGAGCTGCCCAACCAACAGTAGACGATATGTTGGACATTAGGGTACGTGTAGTGGTACTGTAAGCAAGGAGTGATGCACTAGTCACAGTATCGAGTAACCTTTTTTCCCACCCCGCGCGTTTAGGGTTAGCGTTACTATGGGTGAGGACGTTACTATGTTGTGCTCGTACCCGAGCGCACGTTAAACTGATTGCCCAAGTCCGCTACGCCGTAATTACTCCTCGGCTTTCTCCATAACTGAGATGCTGTTGTCTCTTACCCAGCTGCAGTTGTCGACAGTATTCGTCAAGTTATAAGTTTAGGAAGCCGCGTTAACACTCAGCTGCCACATGGTGCCGCCAAATACCAGCAGATGCGAAACGCGTCTTCGTCTCGTTGCCACACGCTGCGAATACTAATAGTGGTAGCAGCGAGAGCTCTCCAGTCCCGCGTTACAATAACACAGTTACGATTAGGTCTTCACAACGGATAGTTTCGACTCAGGTCCTACGATCAATCTCCGAAGAGATTCAGATGAAGGACTCGTCAAGCAGCCTACCTTTCTATTGTTCATTCTGTTCTTGTTCGTCACGGCGGGACAATTTACTCGGCCAGACAGGATTGGTCCGTGTCGCATCCTCTCTGATGGAATGCCGCTCGCGGTCATCTCTGAGACATCGTTATCAAGAAGACCATAAACGTCATCAAGAGCACCAGCGTCAACGACAGCATCAAAGACAACGACAGCATCAAAGTCAGCAGCAGCATCTAAGTCAACGACAGCATCAAAGTCAACGACAGCATCAAAGTCAACGGCAGCATCAAAGTCAACGACATCATCAAAGTCAACCGCAGCATCAAAGTCAACGACAGCATCAACGTCAACAGCAGCTTCAAAGTCACCAACGTCATCAGCATCATCAACATTGTCTTGAAAGTCGATCGCGGTCGAATTTTTCAACAACCCTCCCATTCTCGCGCTCTCCTCTGCAGCTGCTACAGCTAATAACCATTGGAAGCGTGTCGCGTCCACTTAAGAACACGCTGTGCATCCCTCGTCCAGGTCGCTTTGGAATTTTACTGGCAACGCTCATGCTCGCAGCTTCTGTGCCGTCTCGCCTGCCGGCGGGCACTGGCGGCAACGGCGGCGGCGGCGGCGTTGACGCGCAGACCATAGCACCGTCGCAAGGTGAGGAAGGAGGACCGCAATGATCGTAGCTTGAGAGGAAACCGTGACTGCCGTGCCTCAACCAGAGATCAAGCTTTTCATGCCACTCGAATCAAACCCTAGAAGTTTCATGCTGTCGTCAGATATCGGAAATTCCCCAGTTTGTGTGGAGTCCTAGGGATTTCCCACTCGCGTCAGACCCTAGGAGTCCCCTGCGTGCGTCAGACCCTAGGGATTCCCAGCCTGCGTGAATTCCCGAGGGTTCCAGCACCGTTGGCTCTCGGTCGCCGTCCAGTACCCTCCTCCATTGCGAAAACCTTTGCAATGGGGCGAAAGCTAGCTGACCCTTCTGACTGAGACGTTCTCCCGAGGCCGTCCGAGTCAGATTGATGTCCAATTTCTAGGTTGATGATGTGATGGGATTGATGCGCTTTGAACTGGGTTGATTATTGCATAAGCGCGCTTGTACCTGCGGCAAGTGTAGTACGTGGGTAGTGCATACGATGATCTATGCATGTGGTATGCAACTGGTTGCGTGACTGGGTGGGTGTGCGGCTGTTTGTGCGACTGGACTGAGTCTTTTCTGGAATGTGTGTGTGTGTGTGTGTGGGCGCGTGGGTGCGTGCGTGCGTGCGTCTGTGTGTGTGTACGCGTTCGTGCGTGCAGTGACAGTTCTGACGGAGTTTGAGCGGCAGTGGGGCACAACGTTTGATGGGTGGAGGCACCACCACGATGATTGTGCAGAGGCGCATGGCCTCACATGTGATGTCGACGGCATGATCACTTCCATGTAAGGGCCCACGCCCACCCACACATGCCCACCCACACATGCCCACCCACACATGCCCACCCACACAGGCCCACCCACACAGGCCCACCCACACAGGCCCACCCACACAGGCCCACCCACACAGGCCCACCCACACATGCCCACCCACACATGCCCACCCACACATGCCCACCCACACAGGCCCACCCACACATGCCCACCCACACAGGCCCACCCACACAGGCCCACCCACACAGGCCCACCCACACATGCCCACCCACACAGGCCCACCCACACATGCCCACCCACACAGGCCCACCCACACATGCCCACCCACACAGGCCCACCCACACAGGCCCACCCACACAGGCCCACCCACACAGGCCCACCCACACAGGCCCACCCACACAGGCCCACCCACACAGGCCCACCCACACATGCCCACCCACACATGCCCACCCACACATGCCCACCCACACAGGCCCACCCACACAGGCCCACCCACACATGCCCACCCACACAGGCCCACCCACACAGGCCCACCCACACATGCCCACCCACACAGGCCCACCCACACAGGCCCACCCACACAGGCCCACCCACACAGGCCCACCCACACAGGCCCACCCACACAGGCCCACCCACACAGGCCCACCCACACAGGCCCACCCACACAGGCCCACCCACACAGGCCCACCCACACATGCCCACCCACACAGGCCCACCCACACAGGCCCACCCACACAGGCCCACCCACACAGGCCCACCCACACAGGCCCACCCACACATGCCCACCCACACAGGCCCACCCACACAGGCCCACCCACACAGGCCCACCCACACAGGCCCACCCACACAGGCCCACCCACACAGGCCCACCCACACAGGCCCACCCACACAGGCCCACCCACACAGGCCCACCCACACAGGCCCACCCACACAGGCCCACCCACACAGGCCCACCCACACAGGCCCACCCACACAGGCCCACCCACACAGGCCCACCCACACAGGCCCACCCACACAGGCCCACCCACACATGCCCACCCACACATGCCCACCCACACAGGCCACCCACACAGGCCCACCCACACAGGCCCACCCACACATGCCAACCCCACACAGGCCCACCCCACACATGCCCACCCACACATGCCCACCCACACATGCCCACCCACACATGCCCACCCACACAGGCCCACCCACACAGGCCCACCCACACAGGCCCACCCACACAGGCCCACCCACACAGGCCCACCCACACAGGCCCACCCACACAGGCCCACCCACACAGGCCCACCCACACAGGCCCCACCCACACATGCCCACCCACACAGGGCCCACCCACACATGCCCACCCACACATGCCCACCCACACAGGCCCACCCACACATGCCCACCCACACATGCCCACCCACACAGGCCCACCCACACAGGCCCACCCACACATGCCCACCCACACATGCCCACCCACACATGCCCACCCACACAGGCCCACCCACACAGGCCCACCCACACAGGCCCACCCACACAGGCCCACCCACACAGGCCCACCCACACAGGCCCACCCACACAGGCCCACCCACACAGGCCCACCCACACAGGCCCACCCACACATGCCCACCCACACATGCCCACCACACAGGCCCACCCACACAGGCCCACCCACACAGGCCCCACCCACACAGGCCCACCCACACAGGCCCACCCACACAGGCCCACCCACACAGGCCCACCCACACAGGCCCACCCACACAGGCCCACCCACACAGGCCCACCCACACATGCCCACCCACACATGCCCACCCACACATGCCCACCCACACATGCCCACCCACACATGCCCACCCACACAGGCCCACCCACACATGCCCACCCACACATGCCCACCCACACATGCCCACCCACACATGCCCACCCACACATGCCCACCCACACATGCCCACCCACACATGCCCACCCACACAGGCCCACCCACACATGCCCACCCACACAGGCCCACCCACACAGGCCCACCCACACAGGCCCACCCACACAGGCCCACCCACACATGCCCCACCCACACAGGCCCACCCACATGCCCACCCACACATGCCCACCCACACATGCCCACCCACACAGGCCCACCCACACAGGCCCACCCACACAGGCCCACCCACACAGGCCCACCCACACATGCCCACCCACACAGGCCCACCCACACAGGCCCACCCACACATGCCCACCCACACAGGCCCACCCACACAGGCCCACCCACACAGGCCCACCCACACAGGCCCACCCACACAGGCCCACCCACACAGGCCCACCCACACAGGCCCACCCACACAGGCCCACCCACACAGGCCCACCCACACAGGCCCACCCACACAGGCCCACCCACACATGCCCACCCACACAGGCCCACCCACACATGCCCACCCACACATGCCCACCCACACATGCCCACCCACACAGGCCCACCCACACATGCCCACCCACACAGGCCCACCCACACAGGCCCACCCACACAGGCCCACCCACACAGGCCCACCCACACATGCCCACCCACACAGGCCCACCCACACAGGCCCACCCACACAGGCCCACCCACACAGGCCCACCCCACACATGCCCACCCACACATGCCCACCCACACAGGCCCACCCACACAGGCCCACCCACACAGGCCCACCCACACAGGCCCACCCACACAGGCCCACCCACACAGGCCCACCCACACATGCCCACCCACACAGGCCCACCCACACAGGCCCACCCACACAGGCCCACCCACACAGGCCCACCCACACAGGCCCACCCACACAGGCCCACCCACACAGGCCCACCCACACAGGCCCACCCACACAGGCCCACCCACACAGGCCCACCCACACAGGCCCACCCACACAGGCCCACCCACACAGGCCCACCCACACATGCCCACCCACACAGGCCCACCCACACAGGCCCACCCCACACAGGCCCACCCACACAGGCCCACCCACACAGGCCCACCCACACAGGCCCACCCACACAGGCCCACCCACACAGGCCCACCCACACAGGCCCACCCACACAGGCCCACCCACACAGGCCCACCCACACAGGCCCACCCACACCACACAGGCCCACCCACACAGGCCCACCCACACAGGCCCACCCACACAGGCCCACCCACACAGGCCCACCCACACAGGCCCACCCACACAGGCCCACCCACACAGGCCACCCACACAGGCCCCCCACACATGCCCACCCACACATGCCCACCCACACAGGCCCACCCACACAGGCCCACCCACACAGGCCCACCCACACATGCCAACCCACACAGGCCCACCCACACATGCCCACCCACACATGCCCACCCACACATGCCCACCCACACATGCCCACCCACACAGGCCCACCCACACAGGCCCACCCACACAGGCCCACCCACACAGGCCCACCCACACAGGCCCACCCACACATGCCCACCCACACAGGCCCACCCACACAGGCCCACCCACACAGGCCCACCCACACAGGCCCACCCACACAGGCCCACCCACACAGGCCCACCCACACAGGCCCACCCACACAGGCCCACCCACACATGCCCACCCACACAGGCCCACCCACACATGCCCACCCACACATGCCCACCCACACAGGCCCACCCACACATGCCCACCCACACATGCCCACCCACACAGGCCCACCCACACAGGCCCACCCACACATGCCCACCCACACATGCCCACCCACACATGCCCACCCACACAGGCCCACCCACACAGGCCCACCCACACAGGCCCACCCACACAGGCCCACCCACACAGGCCCACCCACACAGGCCCACCCACACAGGCCCACCCACACAGGCCCACCCACACAGGCCCACCCACACATGCCCACCCACACATGCCCACCCACACAGGCCCACCCACACAGGCCCACCCACACAGGCCCACCCACACAGGCCCACCCACACAGGCCCACCCACACAGGCCCACCCACACAGGCCCACCCACACAGGCCCACCCACACAGGCCCACCCACACAGGCCCACCCACACATGCCCACCCACACATGCCCACCCACACATGCCCACCCACACAGGCCCACCCACACAGGCCCACCCACACATGCCCACCCACACATGCCCACCCACACATGCCCACCCACACATGCCCACCCACACATGCCCACCCACACATGCCCACCCACACATGCCCACCCACACAGGCCCACCCACACAGGCCCACCCACACAGGCCCACCCACACAGGCCCACCCACACAGGCCCACCCACACAGGCCCACCCACACAGGCCCACCCACACAGGCCCACCCACACAGGCCCACCCACACAGGCCCACCCACACAGGCCCACCCACACATGCCCACCCACACATGCCCACCCACACAGGCCCACCCACACAGGCCCACCCACACAGGCCCACCCACACAGGCCCACCCACACAGGCCCACCCACACAGGCCCACCCACACAGGCCCACCCACACAGGCCCACCCACACAGGCCCACCCACACAGGCCCACCCACACATGCCCACCCACACATGCCCACCCACACATGCCCACCCACACATGCCCACCCACACATGCCCACCCACACATGCCCACCCACACATGCCCACCCACACATGCCCACCCACACATGCCCACCCACACATGCCCACCCACACATGCCCACCCACACATGCCCACCCACACAGGCCCACCCACACATGCCCACCCACACAGGCCCACCCACACAGGCCCACCCACACAGGCCCACCCACACATGCCCACCCACACATGCCCACCCACACAGGCCCACCCACACAGGCCCACCCACACATGCCCACCCACACAGGCCCACCCACACAGGCCCACCCACACATGCCCACCCACACATGCCCACCCACACATGCCCACCCACACATGCCCACCCACACATGCCCACCCACACATGCCCACCCACACATGCCCACCCACACATGCCCACCCACACAGGCCCACCCACACAGGCCCACCCACACAGGCCCACCCACA